ATGACGAAGAGCTCATCTACAGGCCCATCGGCCATATATTATTCTGTCATCTTTGTTTGATGACGAAGAGCTCATCTACAGGCCCATCGGCCACATATCGTTCTGTCATCTTTATTTGATGACGAGGAACTCATCTATAGGCCTCTGAGCCAAATCTCGCCCCGTCGTCTTTATTTGACGACGTGGAGCTCTTATGCAGGCCCCTCGGCCATACATCGCCCCGTCGTCTTTATTTGACGACGTGGAGCTCTTATGCAGGCCCCTCGGCCATACATCGCCCCATCGTCTTTATTTGACGATGTGGAGCTCTTATCCAGGCCCCTCGGCCACACATCGCCCCTTTGTCTTTATTTGACGACGTGGAGCTCTCATATATGCCTCTCGGCCACTACTCCCAGTCATCTTTATTTGATGACGTGGAGCTCACATCGGCCCATCGGCCTCATATTCTGGTCATCTTTATTTGATGAACCAGACATCATATTATGGACGGTCACTCGACCCATCCCTTAGTCATCTTTATTTGATGACTAGGACTACTGATCATGACAAGCTACCCACATCTATGGATCGGCCTCTGCCATCCCCTCGGCAGACGGACACCGCTGTAGCTCCACCTCTAGGCCGAAGGGCTCGCACCTTTTGTTTCGTTCTGGGGGCATCTGATGTACTCTTTTTCCCTCATTAGGATTTTTTCCCACAGGGTTTTTCCTAATGAGGTTTTTAACGAGGCATCTCCCCATTATGGATCAAAAGGTGTCAACCCTCGGCCCCCTGTTGCAGACATCATCAGACATGCATTACTCTACTCCTCTTCACCTCGTTACACTCGCCTCAAGGAGTGGGGGACTGGGAGAGCGGGGGACTTAGCGCCTTCGCTACCAAAGAAGCAGAAATTCGAAATTTTTGCAAGGATTGCCACTCGCACCGGCGACATCATCATATCACATACATATTCAACTGCCACATCGGCTAGACATATACATAGCTCCCCGGCCTCAAGACCGGTAGTGATGGTCTCTAGCCTGCGACCTTCGGCTGAGGATTTTCCCACAGGGTTGCCTCAGCCAGGGCTCACCAATGGGATCGGATCATCGGCTTGGGAATCCGGGCGAGGCGCTTCGACGACGACAGCAGTTTACTCACCGGACGACGACAGATCAGCACATAGTTCTACTCTCTTTTCGCCTCGAGTACTCTCGACTCAGAGAGTGGGGGACTCCTGATAGAGTATATAGACTCGGACCCTGGGTATCACGACTATTGGGCCCAGACAGCGGCCCACATATGTTCAGTAGATAGCATTTATTTCCTTGTACACTACATTTATTCATATGTACCCATTAAAATAGATTAGATACTATTTATTAGCCATTTATTGGCCTTTTATTGTAACTGGGCCAGCCAGGCCCAAGCCTGGAAGCCCAGCCCTCTTTTCTCCTATAAATACTCCCTATGGGAGCCATGTAAAAGGGGGGATGGTTGATTGGAATTCATTATACATATCACTTTATCTCTCTAGCTCTCACTTCTCTCTAGGATTAAATAATCTATCAAGTATATTTTGAGAAATAGTTTTGATAGTTATGTACTCCCTCAGTCCCAAATTGTAAGATACATTCACTATTCACTTGGTCAACACAAATCACTCCTAAACTTTTATTTTATATATCAAAAGTTTATGAAGTTTGAATTATTTTTTGCAGGTTTTGTAGCGAATTTAATGTAGTTTCTGAATATGTAAATTTTATTTTCTAGAACTAATTTGGGTGTTGACAGGGATCAATTTGTTTTATCGTCAGTCAAACATCGTAAACCGAAATGTATCTTACAAATTGGGACGGAGGGAGTAATATAATGGGGTCATTGATGATAATTCTGATGCTATAGATGCATTATTTTTAATATTTGACAATTAAATTATCATTTAAGAGTATTAATTGTTTCCTAAAATAGAAATGAAACATTTATATGAGACATCTAAAAAGAAAAGTGGGAATCTTAGAGCATATCTAATGGCACAATGTGCGTTGTGACATGTGATATGATAGAGATAGACATATAAAAACACATAAATGACATTTCTCTTTTTTGGTAACTAATTCCACAGTTTTATATATTTTTGGTAATTTTTTCTCAATAATGTCTACATCTAGACATTTTTCTTGACGTTGTGGAGAAAAACGTATCATAAACATATAAGACAATTCATATAAGGAGAGATATAATTTGCTTACTAATATTTATGTATTTCTCTCTCTCTCATGCCACATGTACGTGCATAGTGCACATTGTGTCAATGGAGCTGCTCTCTCTCTCTCTCTCTCTCTCTCTCTCTCTCATATATATATATATATATATATATATATATATATATATAATGGGACGGAGTGAAAAAAAATAATAAAATAATAATAATAATAATAATAATGGGACAGAGTGAGTATTTGTTTACTTTAGTATATATATTAATATGATCTTGATATATTTCTGCTCAGAGTTTCAACTCCCTAAAAGTTTTATTAATGACATATATAGCAATTATGACCTAACACTAAAAGTGGTGATTAGGAGATAGATAAATAAGCTAGATTGTTTATAAATGGTACTTTGTAATCCTTTTAGTAAATGATCGATGTAACTTTAATATAGTACAATTTGGTCATGAAATTTGAGATCATTTTTCATTTTTTTCAAAGGGACACTTGTTTTTTTAATTGATCTGAATAGTTTGACATGTTTATAATGATGTTATATACGGAGTATTAGCTACCACTTGATGTCATTTTTTTTATAGATTTGCTTCGTATAACCTTTGAGGTCAAAATTGTCTATTGAAAGTCTAAACCATACCATCTTTGTTAGTTCAATAACCCCTATTTTACTTAATAAGATATAACCCAATCTAATGAAAATGAATTGACCCCTACCAATCGTGTTATGGAAACAATTGTCGCAGCCACCGTCTTCATTAAAATCGGAATGTCACAAAATTATATATTCTTAACTTCACAGCGATCGAAGGACTAATTTGCTAAATCCTAAAATCTAGAAGGCCTAATATTTAAAGAATGACTACACCCATTATTAAATAAGTAAATTAGAAAAATATGTAGTCATTTATGAAAAAACAGTAAACCACGAATTAAATACATATAATCGATAAAATGAGCACTGAGCAACTTTCTTTTTAGGGAGAATTTGACTTTGCATCCCACTTTTTGGGTGCTATTGGACTTTGAACCTCATTTTAAAAAATCTTTGACTTTGCACCCTATCATATACGGAGTAACATTTGTGAAATAAATTTTCTAAATGGGGTTGCAAAGTCAAAGGATTTTAAAGCGAAATGGGGTGCAAAGTCCAATATCATCCAAAAATGGGGTGCAATGTCAAATTCCGATCCCCCTCCTTTTTATTAGGTAAAGTTGGTTGAGAAGAATATTTTCATTTGGATGCAACTAAGAGTTACGTTAGAAAAAATTATATCTTTATTTATTGGAAAATATAGCCGGAGAACATATATAGATAGTTAATTAAAAAAAAATAAGAAGTACTCAATAAATGAGAATATGCATTACCAACAAATGTTATAATCGATTGAATAAGCAACTTTCTGTTACTTAATAATGCATACATATACCGGTACTATACACACGTACACACACACTAAAACTAAAAAATAAGATCATTTTATCCCGTGCACGGTACGGGTAAAGATACTAGTATGTCAAATTATGCAATGAAAAATAAAAAAGAAAGATGCTCCATATTTAGAAACGAAAAAATGATCTCAATTTTATGATCAAATAGTACTATATTAAAGTTACATGCATGAGTAAAAGAATGATCATTTAGACACAGTTTAATTTATTTATCTAGCTCTTAAAAACCACCTTTAGTATCACGATATGATTGTTATATATGTAATTAATAAAACTTTATTAATTACATATATGTAATTAATAAAACTTTTGTATAGCGTAATTTTATTGACTGAAAGTGTCAATAAAGGCGTAGTAAGTACTATAAAATTTATTTAAAAACAACCACTCAAATAGAATCAACAAAACAACTTAGTTAAGACTTTCTTAAAAATCAGAAAACATAAAGGACACTAGCCAATCAGGAGAAAGTAGAAGCTACATGTTTGGGACCCAAACTTAATTTTTTTATTATTATTAAATTGCTATAGCTTTTTATTTTTATAATTTGATATTTGCAAAAAAAAAAGTGTATCAAAATTTACAATTTATTATTAGGAGCTCATCAAAATTTACAATTTATTATGAAGCCAAGATCGAAAGATTGAATGCAAAACTATAGGGATGCAGCCATAGAGCTCATAAGGGACGAGGACATAGATAATTTCAACGTTACCAACTCTTTTTTTTCTCTTCAATGTTACCAACTCATAATCACAAATATAATGTTATTAGATATATAATCAGTAATCATCGAATCAACATTTTTTCATACATGATTTTTCTTTTCTAATGAAGATGTAAAAACGTAGTATCGTTTATAATTTTGTACTACCTTCATCCTTTTTTATGTTTCTTGTGTTAGTTTGGCACCATTATTTATAGTTATTATACTGAGTAATACTCCCTCAGTCCCATTTGTAAGATATCTTTCCTATTCATTTGTAATATCTTACTTTATATATCAACATTTTATAAAATATGATTTATTTATTTTTGCACGTTTTGTAGCGGTTTTAATGTAGTATATGAATATGTAAATTTTATTTTATAAAACTAATTTGAGTGCTGACGGGATCAATTTGTTTTATCATCAGTCAAACATCGTAAACCGTACATGTCTTACAATTAGGGACGGAGGAGTACAATACTAGTTTTGGGCTAGTATTTTATCTTTGTAAATAGATATAAGTGGGCTGATTTATCAGCCGGTGTAAAGTTATATCAGGCCAACTGCCCAAAGGCCCATAATCATAAAAGGCGGGGAGTAATTCAAACTTGAACTAAACGGTCGAAGTGTCGAACGCGCCCCTCCAAGTCGCCGACTCCATTCGCCGCTTCACCCTCCGGCAGGCGCCAGCACGCAGCGCGGTAGCACCGCCACTCCGCCAGGAGCCAGAACCGCCGCACGCCTCTTCATTCTTCGCCTCACGCCCGTCGCCTGCACTCCGTTCGGCGGTTTGGCCAATTGGCCCTTCTCAATATTCACCTTCAGTAGTTCCGGTATTCCTCCACTCCTTTATTGATTAGTTCATTAATTGATTTAATTCATAGTTTTTTTTTAAATATTTAGTTAAATTAATGATATTGTTGTTTGGTGAAACCTAAACAAACTCTGACAGGCAATTACTATTAGTATTTTCACATTGTTTTTTTTTTTGTAATTTTGATCGGATCTAAAAAGCTTTTTGATTCATTCATATGCGTCATTAGATGATTAGATCCATTCAGAAAAACCTGAGATCCTAAAATGGCAGAAAAAAATAATGTTTTTATTTTCAGAAACTTGTTACTCTGCAAGTTATAAATCACACTCTAAATATGTTTATTCATTTGCTAGATTTTTAGTTTCCAAAACTTATACTCGTATATAAACTTGCCACCTATTTTGGATACTGAAGCATCATTTTAAAGCCAATTTGATTTTTTAGATTTTTTTACATACGAAGTATTTATGATAAGATGGAATGATGAATGATTGAAAACTATTAGCCTGACCCCAAAATCATTTTGTTTATACTGAAATAAAAAATAATACTCTTGATGGTTTATTTCAATTCTTTCCTACAAAATTATTTGAATTTCAAGAGTTAGTTTTCATAATTTCACCATTAGGTTGTTTCAAAGCCATTTATAATTTATCATTTATGTATATATCTTGGAAAACATATTCTTAAGAAACTAAGGACAGCTTGGTTAAACAATAGAGTTTATTTTTTTCACCCTTCATACAAAACAAAATATATGGTCATGAAATGTACTGGAGTATGGCATTGTTGTTTATTCTCAAATGCGTTACCAGCACATAAGGCATAGTTTTTTCAAGAGCAAATCATAAATTTATTTTGTTAAGAAATATGTTATGCATATAGTAAATACATATCAATCTATTTATTTGGCCAAAAGTCCAAAACATTTGGACGGTGAGGTAGTTCCTTAAACATATTAGTAAATATTGCAAAACTATTAAACACATACTGTATGAACTCGATGGAATGATTGCAAAATGTACAATGGATGTTCCTTGAAAATCATCTCTCTTAGTTTGCTCGACTTTTTATCATCTCGTAGCGTGTTGTGTTTTAAAAATGATATTTTCTTAACCTGAGAAAATAATGATGAATTCACAATTATGTCCTCTAAGAAATGCTTCTTCTCTATCAGTTCCTCTGAAATACTTCATGGAGATGCAGACAGTTCATAGTGCATATGGAGTTGTGATCAATTAGTAATTTCTTCTTCTTCTTTTGGGTTGAGTGTTAAAGAGAAGATGGGCAGTGTTCTGAGCAAGGCTGCTGATGGCTTCGGAAATGCCCTCGCCACTCCCTTCAAGGCTATGCTTGAAGGATCTTGCGAGTATGACTTTTTTATCCTCCAGAAATAAAATTGTTATGCAATGAATTCCGCTTTGAGTATTGTATTAAATTATGTTTCCCCTGTTAACCTGTTTCGGATCTTGCAGAGATGTTTGCAGCGGAGTTTGGGATGTGTCGTGTTTCATCACTCACCTTTGTGTTTCGGATTTGATCAAGTTATTTATGATTCTGGTGCTTTGCTACATAAGTAATTCCCAGCCTCTCAGCCTTACATTTTGTGCAGTTTCAGTTTTATTGTATTTCATAAAAAGACACCTCTCTTTTCTTTAAAGTTGCATCACTTTTACTTTTACTAACTACATTTTATTCAGTAATGTATTTAAAAATATTTTGTGTCCGCATAGTTCCAATTTACTATTCATTAATTAATCTGTTTACTTTTGTTCTATAATTATATTTTTATGTATCATATTTTTATTGTATTCAAACTCATTTGTCAAACTATAATCCGTCATGAATGGGACATACAATCAACTAGAATATTACAATTGAGTAGTTCAAACATAAACGAATGATCAAATAATGATTTGGACCAACTCAAATGCATTATGGATACAACTGCCATACTTATTTATGTAGTACTACAGCATTCACCAATTAGTCATATTAGATTTTATAATTTTATGAATAACCAATTCAACAGTCAAAGTCTATAGTGAAAAGTATGAAATCCCGAATAATTAGATAGAATTACTAGTATATTTTATAGAGATTTGAGGTTCTAATATTTGCCATTTGAGTGAAACTAATAGTTCTCTTTGGACAGCTCTACTGTTTCTGTACATGTTCTTCAAACTGGGGATATGCCAATGCATAGGGAAAACTATATGCGGAATGTATTGTTCAGCGTGTAAGGCTTATTGGTCATCAGTTGGGTGTTTAATGTGTTTCCTCTGGCATAAACTTATCAATGTTCAGCGTGTGGATCGTCACCACCGCCGACGGCGGCGCTTCATAGATGTTGAATCTGGAGATAATTCCTTCAGTCTCGACGGTGACTCTTCATTTGTTGATGGAGGCGATGTAAGGGTGTCTAGAAAGAGAAAGATGATGATCAAGAGGACGGGGGAACGTAGACTTCACGGCCAGCATCATTCTCGTTATCACAGTCACCGCCATCGCCACGGCCACGGCCACGGCCACGGCCACGGCCACGGTCAGAGTCATCATCCTCAGGGTAGTATGTATACAAGAGAAGTTGGTCTTCAAGTTAAGGGTAGGCCTCTTAGAATGGCAAAGTTAAGACATCATTCACCGAGAAAGGACATTGTTGTTGCTGGCCCCAATATGGCATCCTTCAAACGAAGACGAATTGCTGTCCAATGACATTTCCTCTTTAGTATATACGGACTATATAATTATGGAGTATATAATTTAGATCAAATGAGAATGTTTTACTTGATTTATTTTGTACTCCTATATCTTTATTTTGAAATCTGCTAGAAAGGAATTTAAGAAGATAAACAAAATTTCAGAAGTCGTTCTGCATTTAAATGGTTATTACATTTTCAAATAAAAAAAGAAATGAACAATAAACAAATTTAAACACAAACTGCGTAATATGGAAGAATACCAGCTAGGAAAAGAATAAAGAAAAAGAAGAGAAGAGAACAAGACAAATGTGATTTGGGTTGTCATGTGTGCGCCACCGGACGGACATGAGTTTGTTGTGTCAGCAGATTACTTGCTAGCTGGGTGATTACCTGTAAATGTCAGATTTGACCAAATTTACATTCTTTGAAGATATAACCTATTTAACATTAAAATATGGGAGCTTAATTGATTTTCTGTATATTATAATATGAGGACTTGCGTTGTACTCGGTATTTGACAATTTCCCCTTTTTAAAATGATGTTTGATATTGTTTCATAGAAGTACTTTACACTCTCTTGATTGAGAAAAGCTAAATACCGGATAGTTCCATGTAAGGTCTACAATATCCTAGGACATGCATTTTAGAGCGAGTATGGAGGACTCTGGTTTACTCTCTAGGTAGGCAAGCTCAAAGACATGCTTAGTATAGACTCAAGAGATTTGGGTTAGGCGGAAATGGCATATATGGTGCACCACGGAGAGGATGTTCCTTTCTGAGTTAGTTACTTTTGGAGTCCGGTGTCACGGTGGCCAGAGTCAGTGTCCCAAATCCCAATGGCGGTGTCACCGGTGGTGGTGTCACCGGTGGCGGTAGGTATGGACTCGGCAGTGCCGATCCTACCAAAACTCGGGCCTGAGTCGAACTTAATAAAAGGCCCTATACATTATTTTTTTTACTATAATTTTCTTTGAAATTGAAGATTAAACATCATAAAAACGACTAATTAAATAAAAATTACATTAATGTCAAAGTATTCAAATGACTAATAAAGTACAACTCGCCGGAGAGTTTTAGCTGCAAAAGTATTAATTAACTCGACATTCTAGATGTTCAAAAGTCCTTCTAAACAGATATTTGGTAGGCTATAAATCCTTTTATGGCTTTAAATAGAAAAATATTAGAAATTTAGAAGCTAAGAAAAGAAGATGAAAGATTAACCTTGATGTTGATTGATTAAGTCTATAGATTGGAACAAGGGAATCGCAAATTAACCTTAGCTAAGGCCCTGTTGTCGATCGATTAGTCTAGGCTAGAACAAAAGAATCGCAAATCGCCTTAAAACCCTTTTCCATTTGTACGCTGATGGCTATTCCACTTCTAAACTGGTCGAACAAAAGTAATTGGGGGACTTTTGGGTTTTCCTTTTTGAAGTACAATAGCGAGTCAACGGACAAAGGTTAGGCAATGTTGGGAAATAGTTTTAATTCAAATAGATGTGGGAAACTAAAGAGTTGCTAGATACACGAAAAGAGTTCCCATAAAGTTCTATCTTTAATGTTCCAATTAAATGATGTTTCAATGCCTATTATATATAAAGGCATCCTCCTGTAATTCAAAAGCAGAGTTCCTGGGTAGAATATGATTCCCTTCTCATATTATCAGCACATAGTGTGTGTGAGTGTGATTTGATATCTCCAGGTTCTTTCTAATCGGTGCTCTAACAGACAAAAAGGAAGCCCAATATGTAAATTTAATACATATATATATACTAAAGAAATATCTAAAATTGTGGGCCCTAAAATTTTAACAATTTTTTTGGACCCTGAGGCAAGTGCCTCATCTGCCTCAAGCACCGCACGGCTCTGGGACTCGGACCGGTCCGATCTCGGGAACGGCCAATCCCGGTTCTGAAATAGTAAAGCCTGATACCTACTCGGTTTGGTCCGATATCGGTTCCAGTCCAAGTACCCTGGCAGGTCACGGGTCCGGGTACCACACCTTCTGTTCAAAAAAATAAAAAAATGGTTGTTGGGATTGAAACTGGGCCCTGGACCGGGCGGTTTGGTCCCAAATATTAAAGCCCGGTCTTGTCACGCTAATAAAGCGATCGGTTACCAGGCCGGTTCCAGTACCGCAAAAACCGGTCCCGGACCAGTACCGAGTCGGGCCGCCCGGACCCAGTCTAAGACTAAGCGGTGTTGCCACTGTGGCAGGGTCGTGGGCATGAAAAATCCGACAATAAAAATTTTTAGTGACATGGAAAAAATACAATGACATAATTTTTTTGCAGTGACATGTTTTTTCAAATATATGACCTTAATTATTAGGAACATTTTGATGAATATTAAAAGTAATACGGAGTAGCATTTTTGGAAAATGACTTCGTTTTAGTGATATTCATGAGAAAACCCCTTAATAATTGAAATTGGCTGAATTGATTAGATATGCTGAAATTGATGAAATACTATTTGAAGCGGCTGAATTGGTTGAATATGTTAAATTATGAAAAAATGGTATTCAAAGTATATTTTATTAATAAAATAAAGAAAATAATATATGAAAAAATAGATTCTCTAGAATAATCAACTTCAGCAAGAAAAGTAATTTCAACCATACCTATTTTAACTTTTTTGTACACACCTTATTTATTTTAATCATTATGCAATGCAGCGCGCGAAAAAATTAGGGCGTATATAGCAAAAATGTTGATAGGTAAGATTGATGAGCTGAAAAGGGGGTCTTCAAACCTGATTCTTAGTGATTGTGATTTTATCAGATTTTACATTGACCATAATAACCATATTGATTTAGCTAACATAACTTCCAAAATCACATTTTATCCATAAATTTTATTTTAATAATATTTTGAAAAACTTTTGTATTCTAAAAGTAAACAGACGTAAATTTCAAGCTTCTCATTTTTATAAGCTCTTAATTTCTTTAATGGTTTTCCCCCGACATCAATATGAGACTTCATCCAAGAGCTCGTTTAGTAATATCGAGTATAATTTTGTAACTTATCAGACTTTAGTTAGACTTTTGATTTGATACAATATTGAATTGTATAAGAATCAAAATAAGTAATCATGAATTTATTTTTCTGACTAAATTTCTTTTCGGAGGGGGTTTTGGTCTAGTCCCCCCTTCGTTTATATTTTCTTATTTATCTAATAAAATCTGGGCATTTGCCCCATTGATTTTGATGGTTTGGCCTTCCGGGGTAAAAAAAAGACTAAATTTCTTGAAAATGATTATTTTATATTTTTATTCTTATTAGTTGTATTTTATATTATGATATAAATTTTGATTATAATCACTACATGTACATATATATTAAGTATAATATTTCGAAAATATTGCCGCACATTTATCCAATTTAACGCATTATTTGTATATTTAGCGTCATTAATCATAAATCTTGTATCATACTCCATATCTATTTTGGTGGCACTTTTTTATTTGAGCACCTATATATATATAAATTATAATCTGAATAATATTTTAAAATTAGCAGAAACTTTGACAATTGCATGTCAAATTAAAAACTAAATAAGATGGTAGCTGTGACTCCTGTGAGCGATCGTTGTATACATGCATTTAGCACTGATAATGCGATTTTAGATGATGAAAATTATATCACCTCATGGCAGGAAAGAAAAACACCACCATTATATTCATGTATGCATTTGCTATCTATAGCATCACGAAACATGGTAAAAAAAAAACAATAAAATCTTCATGGAGGATCTGTACGAATATTTTTATTTGTCCAAATACGCAAATCTTAAGTCAAAATACTCCCTCCGTAACATTCATATCTTCCCACTTTCCTTTTTTGGACGTAACATTTATATCTTCCCATTTCTAAATCTTCCAATCACACCCCTCAATAATTTAAAAAATAATACACTACTACACTACTTTATTTGGATTTATCCTTCATTCTCATCACATTATTTCTCCATCTTCCCATCATACCCTCAATAATTCATACCTCATTTCACTATTCTTAATCTCACCCACTTTGAAAGTGGGAAGATATATGTGATAGGGAGGGAGTATAACACAACTTGCATATTTACCAATGACAAACTTCTGAGCACCTCTATTCGATCTTGCTCATAACTTGATTTTTTGTCCCAACTTCTATGTCATTATCACCCAAAAAAATCTTAAAAAATCTTACAACTAAAACGTGTCCCTCAACAATACTTAAATACCTTTACAAAAAAACAATACTCAGTTTTTTAGACATGCAATTACTTTTAAAGAGATAATTCTATAATAGGAGTAAAATATGATTAAGTGAAAAAATAAAGTTGTTTATGTTGGAAAAATGTGTTAAAAAATTGCATTAAGTGGTAATTTTGGGGCAATATTTTGAGTGGGGTTCACTTCCGATTTGGGTCGGCTCAAAGTGGTTTCGGATTGTCCCTTGTTAGGGGCTACAATTTGATATGTGGTACGCTCAAAACAGATAACGGGTGAATGAGAAATTGACACTCGAAATTTACTCATTGGAATGGAAAAACTGGGAAAAAGATGAGTTTTCTACGGATATCGAGGCCCCATATTATAACGTACCTGTTATAATAAGTATTTAGATTGCATTTTTTTGTATTAATGTGGGGCCTCGGTTTTTGTATTCAGGTGATCGGGTATAGGCATGGCAATGGGTCGGGGCAGGGCGGGTGTTGCAAGACCCGGACCCGCCCCGTGACTTGGCGGGGCAGGTCTACCCCGCCCCGTGACCTACACGGGTCCAAACTTGTTGACCCATGACCCGCCCCATGCAGTGGGTCCGCCCTGCCGCAAACCTAATTAGCTAGTATGTATTTTTATTTTGTGGAAAGTTGTTACCAATTGAATCTACATAATGTTTTATCTCGTAAATAATAATTAAAAATCAATATATTAAATCAAATTCATGATACGCTAAAATTTTCAAAAATTAAGGAAAAATTACTCAAAATTGAATAGTTAATCTAATTAGTTATATTAATAATTGAATATATGTATTAAAATTCTATATATAAAGAAGACATTGATAATCCGTCGTGCATCTCATTCTAATATATATTCATATATTA